CTCCAATTCTAATTGGTTTTCATAGCTAGCTCCTTTTCTCTAAACTGAAATTCCTGTTCTAATTTTCATTTCCAACAGACTCTTCTTCAAGTAGCTGAAAGTGGTTTTGTAGTTCCATCAGTGAAAAGTGTCTTCTCCTTCTTTTGCTCCTAATGGTGATTCTTTTTCATGGTGGTTCCTCCACTGTGTTTGTAACCTCTACAGCATTTTCCTCCATTGCAATGTTTTTTTTTATTTTTCTTCCATCAGCAGTGCCCCCTCTGACAGCTGCTGCTGCTCAAGAGTTCTATCAATGTAGGCTCCATCTTCCCTTATAGCCTTGAGTGTGGCTACTTGCTGCTCCAGGTCTCTGACTTTCTCTTCTAACAGTGTTACACGTATACAACATTTTGCACTCAGGAACAAAGATAAACATAGCACAAACTTGCCAGGTAACCACAACTGAGTTGTCTCTGCCTTCCATAATCCCTTCTAGCTTTTTTACTTTGAACTGTTTGTTTAGGATACCTGTCCCTCTTGTTCTGTTAGTTTAAATGTAGTTGTAGATATTCCCAAGAAATGAAAAAAAATGTTTGGGGCTTCCCCCTTGGCCTCACCCAGTGAACTCCCATGGCAAACTCCCTGTTTGCTATCCTGTTCATGAGCTCTTGTCGCAAGCTCGCTGGGTCTGCCTTTAGCTTTATTTGTCAGCTGTGCTCTGCCCAGAATCAAGAATCAAAAGGCCCTCCCAGAACTTACAGCTGCTACTTATAGCCCTCAGCAGTAATCAGGACACTCTCCTTTCTGTTACGCCAATCACATGACTCTTCCTGTTAAGGACACACCCCTTCCTGTTCTACTAAGCACACGGCTCTTTAAGTAAAGTACATGGTGCTTCTGTCTGGCAATTCCTTGGAATTACTTCAGGCCCTTTCTTGCTGTTACTTAGAAAAATAAGCCACGTTTGACTGCTCAATAGTAAAAATCCTCTTATCTAGCTACACAGATGATATAACTTTTAGAGGCAAACTGACCCAAGTTAAGAAATCACCAGAGACAGTGATTTCTTGTACAAAGTTATTGTACATTTCATGCTTAATTACACAGTTCAGTATCCAACAGAAAATGTTTATAGTGTTTTCTTATCTTCACTTTCCGAAGTTACACTATTTGTGTTACAACAGAATAATGAGGCAAGCAGATATGGGCCATTATCTATAAAAGCATGCAATAGTCACTGTAAGTCAGAACTGATTTGACAATACATTGTTGTTAATTATGGTAAGGAAGAGATTTGGATGTGGGGGTTTTTCAGCAGAGTTATTAATGAAAACTTGTATTTTGTGGCAAAAACTATTTTCTGAGGAGAAATTGGTTCCTGCAAGTTAAACATTTTTTAAAACATAATATAACTTTTAGAAAACAAAACCCATGGTAGTTGGGTTTTTGTTTTTGTTTGTTTGTTTGTTTGTTTGTTTGTTTGTTTGTTTGTTTGTGGGTTTTTTTGCAAAATCTACTTCTGTACCTTTTTCCTCATAAGAGGCCCCCAAACACACAAAACTCTCTTAATCTCATCAAAATTTTAGAATTTGAATAAAATAAGCAAAAAATTTGCTTCCCTCTTTCACACACTGAAGTGCTCCATACACTCCTAGCTCCTCAAAAGTATATATACTGTATATGACTTGTCAGCTCGGCTTCATAACTTTCTGGAGAAAACAACCAAATTACTTTCATTTCACTTAGTGGAATTTCTTTTCACCAGCCTGGACACGATTGCCTACTTGTTTAAAATACAAAGCTTTCTGAAACAGCTGTATAATATCAACTGAATGGAGGATTTAGCATAAGACACTGCTCTCTAATTTTCATTTCCTGCATTAGACTGGATGGCCTGAAGGACCACCTCTGATGTCAGAATTGCTTTTATTTACTGTGCATTTTGTGCTGAAACATCAACCATCAATACAGCAGTTTGATGCCACTTAAACTCCATCTTATAGAATGTAGGAATAGTACTCTGATGAGGCACTTGAAATTTTCTCTTTCAATCAGTGAACTTGTTGCTGTCATGTGACATCAAGTCACTTCTGACATATAGTGACCCTATGAATTAATAACCTTCAAAATATCTAATTAATAGAATATTGACGGCTCTGCAGGGCAGATCCATAATTACTCCAATTTCTCTTTCTTGCCTTGGGGTACAGATAGCAAAACAGATGTGAAACTGGCAAGGTGGAATGGGAGTGAGAGAGCAACAAAACCTGGGAAATTTATGCTGGGAGTGAAATGTTCACTTTTGTTAAGTTCATAGGTAGGTTTGAGCAAAGCACAGAGATTTCCCCTGAATTTTTGGAGTGAGCCACTTTCCCCCCACTATGTGCATGAGCCACTCCCATTAGTGTTCGCTGTAAGAGTCAGGGGAGCATACTGTAGTTTGTGACTACATGTTTACCTCTGCAGTACGAGAAACGATGTAGCATTAGTCCTATTTGTTCCATTCAGAGACCTGCATAACATTATCACACATTCAAATGCACACTGCACTTCCGTCCTATAGTGCTGTAGTTTTTGGGAGGGATGATGCTGATACAGAAATAAGTTTTTTGAGGATTTCTCCCATCTAAAGTAACCATCTAAAGGACTCAGAGACCTGGGTTCAAATTCTGGTTCTGCCATGGAAACTCACTGGGGAGGGGGAACTAGCCAACTAGAGTGGTCTTCACCGGCCAGATAGGCGGGATAATAAATAAATAAATATCTCACTTACTTTGAAAGCCCTATCAGGATCACTATAAGTCACCTCCAACAGCACCACAAAAACAAAATAACCCAGGGCACCTGAAATTGCCCAAAGTGGGCATGAAGTTGCCAAACTGCATGAATTCCATGCTATTGAATTGAGATCAAAATGGACAATCAGTGGATGAGGCAGAACCAAGCAATCTCTTTTAACAGGTGACACCTAATATCTGTGGAGAATTTTCATTAAAGCAAGAGAGGAATTTGAGACTTTTCAAAGTGGTCAGTCTTGCCAACGAAGAACTCATGGATATATAAAGAGACCTTTGGGTAGTGTGGGCAGCATATAAAATAAATAAAGAAAGAAATGGTTCTGGCCTAAGCAGTTCTTTAAAATTGTTTGCCTTGTTTATTGCCTCGATATTTTTCTTGGTATCATTAGGCAGGTAATTAAGGCGGTTTGGTAGGCATGCAGAATCTGAAGGCCTGTTGGGATTGCAAACAAACAGCATTCTGGTCCTATCAATTCATTCTTAAAGGACAATATTTAAACTAAAAACAGTAAGTATACAAATACTGTAAGGATAAAAGGATAAAACAACTACTACTCTGGAAAATGATGAACAAAAGTAATACTAAAAACACATTCAAAACAGTAATTCATAACTATCAATTTAAAAATCCCATTGCCTGAAGATTTTTGCCTGCTTGCTGAAGGACAACAAAGGTGGAGTCAGTCTGGCATCCTCATTTAAATCTAATCTAGTTTTTTTTACATATTATATTTTGTATATAAATTAAACAAATAAGGAAGAAGAACGTACCCTTCATTTCAAAATATTCTGTGCTGCCTGCAGTAGCTTGTCTGCAGTACAAATTATACATCAGCACAAACAAGTATTGTGGCATAAATCCTGCTTTTGCATTTTCTTTTTTCACTTTCATAGTGAAGTTGGAAGGGGCCTACAAGGCCATCAAGTCCAACTCCCTGCTCAATGCATGAATACAATCAAAGCATATCTGCCAGGTGATTATCCAAGTTTTTCTTGAATGCCTCCAGTGTTGGACCAGACGTAACTGGTTCCACTGTTGGACTGTTCTAATTGTTAGATTTTCCTGATATTCAACTGAAATCTGGCTTTCTGTAACTTGAGCCCATAGTTTCCTGTGCTGCACTGTGGGATGATCGAGAACAGATCCTGCCCCTCCTCTATATGACAGCAAGTATTTGAGATCCTGCCCCTCCTCTATATGACAGCCTTTCAAGTATTTGAAAAGTGCTATCATATCTCCTCTCAGTCTTCTTTTCTCAAGGCTAAACACGCCCGATTCTTTCAGTCTTTTCTCATAAGGCTTGGTTTCCTTTGAACTTGTTCCAATTTGTTAGCATCCTTCTTTTTCCGAGGTGCAGTACTTTCCACTTATCCCTGTTGAATTTCACTGTGTTGTTTTAGCACAGTGCTCGAGCCTTCTTTCACTGCTTGCTTAACTTGGGAGGGCAGATGAACATTCATCTGGGAGAAAAGAAGCAGCGCCACAAAGCTCCAGGGGTCATCTGGAGGGGTCCAGTGGTCCTGATCCTGACACAGATGACCATCTGGGGCACGTGTACACTGAAGTGAGCTCCATTAAACTCAGTTTGTCTCACTTATTAGGAAATATAAAAGCAGTAAAACGTATTACAAATTTTGAATAATTTAAAATTACCCGTTTCAAAATTGTAGTCCCATCAAACAAACAGAGAAATACCCAGCCTTCCTCATGTGTCACATACGGCCATAATAAGTACAGATAAAAAAAGAAGTCACCTTGGTCTTCCTTTTGTTTCACGTAGAATCCTGGTTTGCTCTGAGTCCTAAAAATGAGATAATTGGCCCCCTCCTCCCATATTCCACACTATCAGAAAAAAAATGATTAAGAGGGTCAGGGCTTCTATGCAATTAATAGTTGTGTAGAAAAGGTAAATTTCAACAAGTATAGGTTCTATGACAGTGAGATCTTTAGAGACCTCAGTGAGTGTTATTTGCTGAGTTACAGTCTCACACTGGCATAATTGTAATTTCTGTTAAGGCAGAAGGACTAGAAAGAAAACAGGTAAAGAAAACTGTCAGATATTACCCAAACAACAGACACCACTTATTCACATGAAAATGTTATGAACATACTACATCAGTTATACAAAGATGTATAATGCTCACTTGTAAGTGCAGGTAAAGAAGGGAATGTGATAATCAGTGAAAAGGAATTAATATATCTCCTCATTGTCATTGCTTTAGGTCATGGAACAAAAGGAGTGTTTGAACTTCTGTCAGGATGGCGCCGAACCCGAGAACACTTGCCATTCAAAGACAGGGTTGCAGATGCCTACTCTGATGTAATGGTCTCCTACAGCATGACAAGCTTCTTGTATTTTATAGCCTTTGGCATGGGTGCCAGTCCTTTCACCAACATTGAGGCTGTGAAAGTCTTCTGCCAGAATATGTGCATCTCTATCCTGCTGAACTACTTCTATATCTTCTCGTTCTTTGGCTCCTGCCTGGTCTTTGCTGGACAGCTGGAGCAGAATCGTTACCACAGCATCTTCTGCTGTAAAATCCCTTCAGCTGAATACCTGGAAAGGAAGCCTGTTTGGTTCCAAACGATGATGAGTGATGGCCATCAACACACCTCACATCATGAGACCGACCCATACCAGAATCACTTTATCCAACATTTCCTACGGGAGCATTACAACGAATGGATTACCAACATCTACGTTAAGCCATTTGTGGTGATATTGTACCTCATTTATGCTTCTTTCTCCTTTATGGGCTGCTTGCAGATCAGTGATGGGGCCAATATTATCAATCTCCTCTCCAGCAACTCTCCCAGTGTGTCGTATGCTATCATTCAACAGAAGTACTTTAGCAACTACAGTCCAGTGATAGGCTTCTACATCTATGAACCTCTTGAGTACTGGAATGGCACTGTGCAAGATGACTTAAAGAAACTGAGTGAAGGCTTCAACACACTATCCTGGCTTCAGCAGTACTACCAGTATCTGAAAGCTGGGAACATTAGTGCCACAAACAAAAGTGATTTCCTTAGCATCCTCCAAAACTCATTTTTAAGGAAGCCAGAATTCCAGCATTTCAAAAATGACATCATTTTCTCCAGGGCTGGCAATGTGAATAGCATCATTGCTTCCCGCATGTATCTGGTAGCTAGGACTAGTGAAAAAACACAGAGGGATGTTATAGAGTTGCTGGAAAAACTAAGACCACTGTCTCTGAAGCAGAGCATCAAGTTCATAGTGTTCAACCCAACCTTTGTCTTCATGGACCAGTACAGCCTCTCAGTAACTATGCCCGTCTTGATTTCAAGCTTTGGCATCTTGCTGGTGTTGTTACTTACCTTTTTCCTGGTTATTCATCCTCTGGGGAACTTCTGGTTAATTCTCACTGTCACCTCAATAGAATTAGGTGTCCTAGGCTTGATGACTTTATGGAATGTAGACATGGATTGCATTTCTATATTGTGCCTTATTTATACTCTGAATTTTTCCATAGATCACTGTGCACCCCTGCTTTACACATTTGTACTAGCAACTGAGCACACTCGAACTCAGTGTATAAAAAGTTCACTCCAAGAACATGGAACAGCAATTTTGCAAAATGTTACTTCTTTTCTTATTGGGTTGGTCCCTCTCCTTTTTGTGCCTTCAAATTTGACCTTCACACTGTTCAAATGCTTGCTGCTCACTGGCAGTTGCACACTTCTGCACTGTTTTGTTATTCTACCTGTCTTCCTAACATTTTTCCCACCTTCCAAAAAATACCACAAGAAAAAGAAACGGGCCAGAAGAAAGGAGCGGGAAGAAATTGAATGCATAGAAATTCAAGAGAATCCTGACCATGTGACTGCAGTCTGAACGTCGGACAAACACATGTGGCTTTTTTAAACTAAGAAAAAATGTTACACAGAGAGCTGCAGGGAAAATAGAGTAAAGAGCTCCACTGCTTGTGCTGGCCCGTGGTGAACAAGACAACGGAAGCCCAGGAAAGGAGTATGAGACACACGGAGGTGAAAGTATTGTTCAGATAATAAAATAATAAAAAAAAATAACCATTTTTAAAAAGGAAAAGGAAGAAGAAAAAGAATGGAAAAGAGAGAAAAAACACTTCAGCCCCCTCACTTTTAATTGTATCACTTTATGAAGGCAAATGTTTATTGGCAATTTTATCCAAACATACCAACCACAACACAAATGAAATTACTACATTCGGTTAAGTTACAGAATTAAAAAAAAAAAGTCACAAAGGTTTCAGACCAGAAAAGGCAAGAAGAATACACAGGAAAAAGTATTTATGGCTATGTTGCTGATTATATTTTTAAAGGTGTTGGCCTAAGTAAAACCTATGCAGCTGGGTGGTAGATATTCAGTCAGTCTAAGCCAAAGTACTTCATTGCTCTCGTATACCGTTCTGAACTTATAGGCCACAGCTGGAATTTGTGCCATTTTTTTTTTCAGAAAAGGGAATTGATGCCCTCCTAAAATGTAAGCACAGTATGTGTTGGAAAAGAATTCGCTAGATGACTTTAGCTTCTAGAAATCTGGCATTGGATAATGCTCTCTGTTTCGTTATAGAACCCCTGAGAACCAGTGATTTTATGGTACAGTATACTTGAATTTTGTGAAATATCCCAGGTCTCAACTACTGCAGTACTCTCTATAATTACTGCAGTGCTGTCCTTTTGCCTCCTACACATTATCTGTACCAACACAAGACCCAGAATACTAATCAGGCAGATGTGTCAATAGATCACCCTCCATAGGCACAACATGGTGACATTTTGTGCCTGAAATCAAGTCTTGAGCACACAGCAGTTTTATGTGTCACAAATGAGGTTCAAAGCAAAATTATACCATTCCACTGTTAAAATATTATCCAAACTGCATGCGTTTTACATCTTTTTTTTGGCAAACTGATCGACTAACTATGCCTTTTGCCACAAGAAAAAAACAAACAAACCCAGTTATGTTTTATTAAACATAAAAAAGCCAGGCTGCTTTGGGAATTTTTTTTTTATAAAGCATTAATGTCAAATGCCTCATAGAATGTCTGTGGCAAAACAAAGCTTTGTAGCTGTTGCAAATTACAGATTAATGCAGTAAATCCGTTTCTTACTGCATGAGACTAGATTTATACTGTAACAAAAGGAGAGTCCTTACTTTACAGAATATTCATATATACAGTAGAAGTGCAGCAGAAGGGATGGAAAGAGAGTGATCCAATAATATCCAGAGAGAGTGTGAAATTCCACCCTGTGTTAAGCCACATATTTCTCTTTTTCAAAAGCATTTTAGAAAGCGTTTGCATTATGCATTCTTTGGTGCATCCAGCCTTGCATAAAGAAGAAATGTCTTCCTGAAAAATGTATTATGTATCTTATGATCATTGTTTAGAAGAAATGTGAAAGGGAATGTGGGGTGGAGTTGTTACTGATTCCTTGCAAAAGAAGTCTGTTTAGTTTTCATAATGTCTTGATCTGGAGGCAGCTGTGCACGTGAGAAGGGATTAACCCAGTGGTCAGCAGCATCTTCCCTTCCTTCTTCCACTGGCATGTAAGTAATTGGTGCAGAGGAACCTGTAAGCAAAGATGGGGGGAGGGCAGGAGAGGGATGCCAGCAGGAGTATGCAGGTGAAAGATGTTCATGGTCCTGCCACCAAAGTTAATGGCTACTCAATTCTTCTGACAAGCAAGGGGGGGGAAGGGTTCTGTGAATCTCTACACTGATCCAAACTACATGTTCTTTGTTAAAGCAGATAATCCTGTTTCATGGTACCAGTGCTATAAAGAGATTTTGGTTAGCTAGTTACCTGATCCAAAGCCATATTTTCCAAGAACATAAAATATTATACTGATTCAGAACTTGGGTTTATTTAACCCTAATTCTGAACCTTGGTGGCCATTCTATGATTTCAGCACATGTATTATTTTGATTTGGGGATAACAAAGATTGGAGACAGAAATTTCTGCATGGTAAATAAGCCTTCTGTCACAGAATGGTTGCTCCTCCCTCTGACATGTTGAGGGAAATTACCCTATACCACCACATGGTATATGCCAAAAATTTGCATTTTCAGAGAAACGTCTCCCAAAATATACAGTAGCTGGTATAAAGATCTCCATTAGTATATTCTGTTACTTTCAAAATTATTCCTGTAATAAGACTCCCATGGGGATATCACTGGTGAGTTTCCATTTCACTGGCACAGAGGACCTGGTTGGAAAGGGAGAAGAACTGGGTAGACATCATGAGCAGGTTGACATACGTCAGTGGGCGCTATTTTCCAAAACAGCTCTCTTCTAACCTCCTGCAGCATGACATTCTCATGAACTATGGCTCCTTTATCCATAAAATGCATCTCAGACTAGAGGCTTCAGTCAGAATAAAGCCAAGGGTAGCACATTCAGAAGATTGTCAGTGACATTTGAGTGGGGTGGGGTGAGTTTATATTAAAAATGTAAAATGAAAGTCTTCAAGTCCCTAACAGGCCAGGTTTACAGTACATTCGATGACATGACAAATATCTGCTCATGAGAAAATAGGCAGATCCACTATTTTACCCTCTAATGTGTAAACCCTTTAGATGTGGTATGCAAGTAAGAGACCTGAGATTTCATGGAGTAATATTACTATATTTGCTTCAAACTAAAGCACAACAGCCCTGCTCTATTTGAGGATATCTGTGCCCCAAAGTCCTGTGCTGGTCAGCATCACTGGATGTATCTATCCATCAGCATCATGCACCCCTGTTTAAAGGGGACTCTGAAAATTGACATGGGAATGCTAATGCCAAAGAATCAGATAATTTGTCCTGCCTACAGAGCATCACAATTTGCTTTGTCAAATGCACCAGTAATGCATATTAGATTCCTATTGGTGTATACTATTATGCATAACATCCTCAATATTATATTACAGCTCAGGGTTCTTTTTTTCTATGATGACAGACTCCTCCCGCATTTTTGTGTTGCCATTGTTTCAAAATGTCCAGATAAGTATGACAGCCTAAATCACAATAGCAAATAATTGTTTGATATTTCTGCACAGAATGAGAACATGCACGTGAATGACGCTTAGTGGTTGAGAGACAGCACGTGACATTTCATGCACAGACAGTCAGAAGCCACAGGAAGAGAAGAGTCAGAGTCCATCAGTATCAGTGTGAGTGATCAGAGGGACTTCTTGATCATGTTTCTTCTTTGATTTCTGCTAATAAAACCTTTTAGTTATTGTCAGGTAAAGTGACTTTTCAATATTATTTCATAACAATACATTTTGGTTGAGCCTCAGAATGGATTGTTGGCTGAATCTGAAATGTTGAAGAACTGATGATGTTGATGAGGCTGCGTCTTGTTCAAAGCAAAATTAAGCTTTTCCCAGTCATCTTGAAAAGTGTCGCCATTAGAGGAAGGAATATCTCTAGTACTTCACGTGTCCGGGCCCCAAAGACAGGCAACTACCACAGTGTGTTACAAGTTATTGTCCAATGAGGCCATGAAACTATCAAAATTGTGAAGTCATCTCAATATTAAACATACACAACATGCCACAAAGAGTATCAATTTTTTCAAAAGTAAGAAAGAGCTTTGGGAAAGTAAGAGAATGGCTTTTAAAAGGCTACAGCTGGTTGTAACAATGAAAATACAGTGAGGGCCTCATTTGAAGTTTTTCAACTAATGGCAAAAACCAGGAAACAGCATATAATACCTGGAGAATTTATATAACCTGCTGCAAAAATAATGGTTTCTGCATCGATCAACGACAAAGCTGCCAAGGACCTTTTCTTAATACCTTTGTCAAATGACTCAGTTAAGAAGTGAATCAATGGTTTGCCAGCCAATATCAAGGAACAATTATTAGAAGGAAGTTGCATACTTTGCACTGCAATTGGATGAAAGCACAGACATAACAAATAAAGCAACCTTACTGTACTACATTAGATACAAGCGTGAGATAAATGTTTTCAAAGACACACTGTTCATCTCTTTGGTACACACTACAGCTGAAGAAGTATTTAACAGCTTAAATGAATTCATAACATCTCATGACATGGATTAATGTCCAGAAAGCTTACTGGACTTGTAGCACGGATTAAGGAAATCATACTGTTGGTGACTTGGTATCATTGCTGCATACATAGGGAAGCTGTTGTTGCTAAGAAGATATCAGAAAAACTAAAGCAGACCTTAAATGAATCAGTCAATATTAGCAATTTTATAAAAAAACAAATCACTGAATTTGAGACTTTTTAAACAGCTTTGCAAAGATATGGACAGTGAACACGAATTTTGCTACATTGGCTATCATGAGGTAAAGTTTTGTCTTGTTTTTGGGAATTGAGAGATGAAATAAGATTATTCCTCATGGAGAAGCAATTTAACTTCAGTGATTGTTTGACAGATTTTTTGGTTAGTCAAATTAGCATACATGTCAGATATCTTCACCCATTTAAATATGATGTAGTAGTAGTAGTAGTAGTAGTAGTAGTAGTAGTAGTAGTAGTAGTAGTAGTAGTAGTACTTTATTACGGTCAAAGACCAGTGAAACCAAAACAATATAAAATAGATACATACAATTATAAAAAGAATGCTCAACTTCAGTCCTCAAGGAGAAAAGATTAAAGTTTTTCAAGTTGAAGACAAGACTGAAGCAATGATCAAAAAGTTGGAATTGAACCAAAACTGAGACATTTCCAGCTCTCACAAATTTTCTTGGTTCCACCGATGAAGAATTGTCTGAGGAGGACACATCACTTATCAAACAGCATTTGGAAGATTTGCAGCATAGTTTCCCTGAACTTTTTCCTGTTCCTAATGCAAGCAAAAACTGAATTAGAGATCCATTTTCATTTAATGTGTATGAAATAGAGAGGCTCATAGCAGCAAGATAAGCTCATAGAAATATCCATGGATGGTGCTCTGAAATTGCAGTTCAAGGAACAGTCCCTTCCGAACTTCTGGGCTCACCTACAAACAGATTTTCTGGAACTACCGAGGAGGGCTATGAAAATATCGATGCCTTTTATAATGACATACTTCTGCGAAATAATAATTCTCTGCTCTCACTTATAAGTATTGAAATAATTTGAAAAACATAGAGTCAGAACTTAGAATACAGGCTTCGGGTATTAAGCCACAAGGCTTGAAAGTGAAATGCAGTACCAACCTTCTCATTAATTACATGAATATATGTTCACTTTTCTCCAGTCAACTTGTTTTTAATGAGGTACAATTTTGTACAAATTATATTCATTTCATTTTCTAGCTATCATTGTCATGTGATGTTTTGTATACGTGTGTCATATTAATGATTTATGTGCTTGTAATTTCAATTTCTTCAGCAAGAATTAAAGTCAATCAAAATTATAAAAACATTGACTGCTATCATATAACTCACACACATCACAATAGTATAAAAAAGTGACTCACAGAGAGCACAAGATGGCTTATTAAGCATATCATAAAAATTACAATGACAAAGGAAGAGGTCCTAAAATGCTTCTCTGAACAGCAAGGATTTTATGTGTTTTCTGAATGTCAGAAGGGTAGAGGGCTGCTGCATCTCCACAGACAAGGCATTCCTTAGACAGGTGGCTGCCACTGAGAAGGCCCATCTCCTGGTTGAAAACTTCCTGGCCTCCCTTGGGATTGCTCAGGAAATAATTGACATTGTAATAGTTAGAAGAAATTAATTTTCAATCATTTCTCAAGTTTGATCTATTGTTAACCAATATTTTATTAAACTGTGATTATGTGACAAAAAAATTAAGGGATGTGGTGGCACCGCAGGTTAAACTGCAAAGCCTCTGTGCTGCAAGGTCAGAAGACCAGCAGTTGTAAGATTGAATCCACACGATGGAGTGAGCTCCTGTCACTTGTCCCAGCTCCTGCCAATGTAGCAGTTTGAAAGAATGTTAAAATACGAGTAGATAAATTGGTACCACCTTGGTAGGGAGGTCACGGCGTTCCGTGTCTAGTTGCGCTGGC